TCAACTGTAGAGGCGGGTGTGGTCAACCAGAAAATCTCCAGCATTGCGCTCTTACTCATTATGTTAGATGCAAGAGACACAACGACGTCATCAAGCTGATCACCAACAAACTACGCAAAATCAATACCAGATTTTACATCGAGCCGCGTGTTCTAACGCCCACGTCTTTCTGTCAACCAGATCTGATTATCCTGTTAGACGGTGTGGCATACATTCTCAACGTAACAATCTGCAGCGACGCCTAAATTTACATCAGCCATGCGTCGAAGATGTCAAAATACGGATGGTTGCTGCATGTAAACGATTCCTGTCTACAATGGGATATGCAGTACAAAGAATCATGCAAATTCCTGTTGTAATCTCTAATCGAGGGATGATCAGTCAACTCTCTAAAAAATACCTTCGCAGACTCTTTTTCACCTCCTTCGACATTTCACACCTTTGTATCTCAACCATTAAAGGCTCTCTGAAAATCTACGATACTTACATGTGTGGAACGTATGGACTCAGACGTAGAAAAGAAATGAACCAGTGATATTGTAAATTTATTGCCATATAGGAATACTTTTTTTCACAGTTTACTCTACTACTATTTGACATAATACACATATGCGAAACACATTGTGACATTCATACACATATATATACTCATTGAAGCGATAATACTGTTATTAACCTCCTAAAATGCCTGGTAACTTAGTTTATTCTATATATTCTAATTGTTCCATACTACATACACGCATAGAGCATATTGCTGTCATAAACCTCTCCCGATGTTAAATACTATTGCTACATTCAACTGTCGATGCTACCCCATGATTCATACATGAAAGCAACATTCACATGCTCAAAATTAATAGAGACTTGTATTACATTTGATGATTCTATAAACATAAGTTATTAAAAATCACACTTCTGTACCACTCACGAATATCTCACATCAACATATGACACAAACGATCAATCAAATCTACACATTTATGTACAAACACATCTAAATGATAGTGCTGCAGAAAAAGTACACATTATTGGGTTCAACACGGGCCGCTGTGCTAATTTTTCTACACTTGTGTCTGTTATTTTTTCTTACTTAATTGACTGATTTTCGTTCATATATTTATTTATCTGCACGAAGGTTACTTATGTAATTTAGGAATCATTATTTTGTACTTATTTTTCTATTGACTTTAGGTATTATTGTATTTCTCAGGTCAGACAAACCTGGTTGATACCAACTTGTTCGTAGTACGTGTGGGGTTATATAGCGATTCAAAAATAGCCTTCGGACGTGTCAAATATGTGATACCCTTGCTACTGTCAAGAATTAGCGCGTTATCTCTTCAGAGGAGTCTAGTGAATAACTATGTCTATACTCATATCCAAAGTTTGAAGTTCAACCGTTTTCCTCAAATCAGTGGTTGGGAGAACTGCAGCAGTGCGAATTCGATACAACGTATCTGTAACAAGGTTATTCACACTGGAGTCATGGAGAATGCCCAATATGAATTGCAAGATTTAATCCCAGTGACAAAATTCACACGGCGAGTATCTTTCCATACGAGTGTGAAGGACGTACGTGGTTTAATGATCGGTGTGGGCAGTAGACTTCCAACCTTCATTGAAGTGTTCTATGGAAGCGTAGACGGCCAACATTTGAGGACCAAAAGTGCTGTATTGCATTTCGCATGCAGTGAACTTCTTGGAAAAGAAACCAAATAGATGTGTATTTGTAATTCCATAGTAGTAGCACGACAGGCATGTTGGATGGTATCTAAAGAAATGCTGAGAAGAAGAAAATTGACGTCTAGATGCACTAATGTAGTGGCGCCTGCAATACCTACCTTCATTTTTCAGACGCTTTCAAGATTTACGGAGTTTAGAATAAAGTTTTGCGCTTGCTTTCAGAAGATTTGTCAGTGCAGTCAAAATAGGCACTTATTGCAGAACAGAACAGCGATGATAACTTGCCATATCAGAAAATATGCAAAAACAAATCTGAGGAACATTGTGACTGAAAACTTATGAATGGTGTGCACCATTTTTAACATGGGGCTAGTGCCACTTCCACCTAATACATGCCCCAGTGAAGCCACTGAGTTGATGCAAACCGTACATTTCACTAGACTGACTGTCATGGAATGTTTCAACAGTTTTCTGAAAACCTGTTGTAAGTGATTAGAATGTTTCGATGAAGAAAGAAAGACCATATTTGCAGCATAAAATGATGTCATTCTATTTGGGAGGTCCTCGTCAGCTGCAAACCAACTTAATTTTCATTGGTTGTATATAATGACAGTAACATACTTCAATGTTTGAATGGTAGTAGAGAAAACACTATAATATCATCGCATCCGAAATATAAGCATTACAAATTTTGGTTTAATTTACCATCAATTTATATACTTTCAAAACAGAAAAGGAGAGGAGGGGGGAAGAGAAGATAGATAACAGAAAATAACCTAATAAACAGTGTTAGCTCGTAGATTTACATAGCAACTCAAGATGTCACTTTAGACTGCAAAACTGGTCTTACTTGCTTTATCGAAACTTATCAAGGGAACCAAATGTATGATTACAATGTATTTTTGCATCTGGATAAGTTACAAGAATATCGTCCACATATACACATCAGCTAAGTCTATCTAGTCTACTCATCACATGATGGATGAAATGCTGGAAAGTTTACGTGATATTGTATAGGCCGAAGAGCATGCGTAGAAACTTGAAAAGACCAAAAGAGGTGGTGATTGCAGTTCTCAGAAGATCATCAGGGTTAAGTGGCTAGCCGACTGGTTTAAACGTAGAACCTTGCACAGGTGTGCACCAGTTCAACTCGATACACTTCAAACAAACAAGATGAGACAATAAAGAAAGATTGAAAATTAAATGTCAGCTAACACTGTTGGTCGAGGAAGGCGATGACTAGGCATGCGTAACATATGTCCTAACCATCTCAATCGAAGTAACTTCACAGCTTCGTCTATTGATTTCCCCTCCTTACCTTGCCTAGCACTCGACCGATGCCTCACCTCAATATTGCTTACCCTATTATACCAATTCACACGGAAGATGGAATGCAGGCACCTGTGATCAAAGATAGCTAGCCAACCTTTTCATGTCTTCCACTTTCAATGACCATGTCTCAGCCAACAATAAAGGACAGAACGAACTGCTGAACAGTACACACGCCCTTTGGTCGATAGCCGGATATCACGTCTATGCCAGAGACGGCGTAAACTGACATATGCAAAACTGGCCTTCTGTATCCGTGTTGAGATTTTGCCAGTGATCATTCCGTTGACACTGGCTGATGCAAATTCCCAAATAAGCGAAGTGGTCAACGGACTTTACTACTTCACTCCCTATTTCTAAGACAGGAGTCTATGTATTCCAGTCCTGTAACATCATCTTACATTTGACAGCAGGAGCGAATAGCATGCCAACATACGCAGATTGCAGCTCAAGGTGTTCAGAAGACTCTACATTTTGTCAGCGTCCTCACCTAGTAGAAAGCACTGTATCATCTGCACATTCTAGGTCAGCGAGATTACACCCTGTTAACAAGCCAATCGCTGAGTCTCTGAAGTGAGTTAGGATTAATTCCATTAGTACGATATCTATGATGAAATTGAATAGAAATCGGGATAGTGAGCATCCTTGTCGGACACCACAAGTTAACACAACAGTTATCAGATGACAACTCACCGTAAGTTCTCACCTGGGGGACTACATGAGTTCGAGTAGAGTGCCTTGATCAGTGAGGTGTATCTTCTCAGGATTCCCTTTACAGCCAAGCATCGCCAAAGTACCGACTCGAATGCCGCCTTTAGGTCAAGAAATATTACGATTGTTGGAGGCCGGTAGGTATGCGTATGTCCCGTTACAGAATCTATCGAAGCGTGAAGATATGACCACTACACCCTCTTCCTGGTCTAAAGCCTGCCTGCTTCTCTCGTGTTTGTGCCTCCTGTGGACCACTTAGTCTACGCATGATTATTGAGTCTTGAACTTTAGACACCATATTAGTCAAGCTAATCCCTCTGTGATTATCCCAGGAAGACTTGTCTCCCTCCTTGTATATCGGGATAATCAATGACTTACACCAACCCGACGGGACTTCCTCTAATTCCTAGACACTGCCTAGTACCTTAGTTAACGCAGACAGTAAACTGTCTCCACCATACTTAAACACCTCTGGAGTCATTTCATCAGGTCCTGCTGCTTTGCCTCGTTTCAGACTAGTGACAGCCTTTGTAACCTCAGTTAGGGACGGTGCACCGGTGTCTATATCCCATTCACGGAGGTGTTGGATGCATGTTAAGTTGAGCGTGGCTGTAGACCAATTGAACTGCCCCTCAAAATGTTCTTTCCAACGTTCTAGTCGTCTATCCTGGGAGGTAATTATGGTGCCATTTTTCTCAGAGATTGTTTCACTTATCATTTGCCTTTTGCCACCTGTTTACCTGATAAGTGTAAATAGTTGTCTGGTGTTACCTATCATATAATTTGTTATTATTATTATTACGAGTTCATAGAATTGTTGATTATTTCGGTAGCCCATGATATTGTAAACAAGGTCCAAAGCTGAGGAATACATTGGATTCTGTTTCACATAGCTAGCGATATACGCTTCCATATTCAGTCAGTTTAAAACAAAATAGTGAGATTTGTGGCTACTTCAAATTCCTGACACATGTAGACCACAACATTGAGTCTAAGATGGAGTTATTAGTCAGATTCTGTATACACGCCTATTAATCCTCCTTCTTTTTTTTTGTAAGACGTCTACACATCCCCACATAACTGATAGATTCATTGACTGATATTTGGTGGACTGTAATATCTATATCACTCTACATTCATTGCAAACACAAATCTATGACACTTCAATCAATTAACACACCACCCTCTGGAGTTAACTGTCCGACTAATCAAGCAAGTTAAGGTAATAATTAATAATTCAAGGGAGTTCACTTTTGTAGGTGTAAATACTTTTCACTTTGATGAAGGATAATATTATCTCTTCAAAAAAAAAAACACAAAGACAAACATTGATGGATATATTGAAAGGAGAGACGGAAGACAATTGGTTATTTAGACAGACAGATAGATAGATAAATAAATAAGTGAATAAATAAGTAAATAATTAATTAAATAAATAGGTAAATTGTCACGGTACATGTTTTATTGTTCTTCTATTGTTCTCGATTTAGTCGTGATACCACTCGGATAAGTGCTCGATGTTCAGCATGCAACTTTTCTGATTCAGCTCGTAATTTCTCAAGTAACTAAGGCATAAATAAATATAAAGCAGAACAATCAGTCGGGAATACTGAATACATATTTTTTCAACAACAAAAAAACAACAATAGACAAGAAGAATAAGGCTATATTTACACATAGAACAACCATCTGTAGTCTATTAGCATAACAAGTGGGCCACTAAGTGATTCAAATGATATGTGCTCATGTATCAAACTGAATACAATGAAGCCAGTTAGCTATTGTCAATAAAAGTTGTCCTGTCTAGTGTTCTGTATGTGATTCATAACCTTTTTTTAGTATTTTTACCATTACTTTGATCACACTGTTCACATACCTCAATGAATAATCTATTACACACACACGGGAGTGAATACAGGCCATCAGTTGTCCTTCACACACCATAGGATATAACGATGGCTTGACTATTCATGATCCAAGCACAAATAAAAAAAAAGGCTCTTGTGACATTTGCCAACCTACGTCACCACTGGAGTAGACGTGATACCCGGTCATGGATCGAATGGCGTGTGTATTTTGCGCAGCCATCCACTCTTTCCTTCTTTATGGCCAGTGAGACATGGCCAATGAAAGTGAAAGATATATAGAAGAGCCGAATTACCTTTGATCATAAATACTTGTGTTCGATCTCCCATGTTAAGTGGTATAATGAGTTCAGTAATATTGAGGTTAAGCGTAGAGTGTTAGGTAAGCAGGATGAATCAATCGATGAAGTTTTGAAGCCATATTGATCGAGATGGCTAGGATACATGTCGGGCATACTGACTGTACCGTCTCCTTCGTCGTCAAGCAATGTTGACCAACATATGATTAGGCTTGGAGAAGGTTAGGAGTGGTGAAATCAAAACCTGGCACCAATCCATGAAGACTTCCACTGTTGATTTGAGACAGGCGTGTAGGGAGGTGTAGACTATCCGGATGGGGTTTTCGAGAAACTAAGAATCAATGACCTGAAACTGTTGGTAATATGGATGAAAATCGTTCTCAGTGGAGCAGACGCATTCACCCATTGTCATCTCCAAGACCGACTAAATCCTGACATCTCTTTATGTACTTATTCTTCTCTCCACACGGTTCCGTTCAACACAGCTCTTTTCAATTTCTTCTATCTAATTTTGTGTGTTATATGAAGTTTCCCAACTTGAACCAGTGTACCTCTTCGCAATGTTCTCTACACTGAGAACTCGGTGTCAGTCAACCATCGAATTTACTTGAATAGACTGTGGTGCTTTAATATTTCGGCTACTGTGACATTTTAAAACTCCAAATTAATAAATAACTTTTTCTTTGTCACTGTGGTTTGATGAAGAATGTTCTGTCTCTCTTTAGCTATCGGTAAAAATATCCTTCAAGTTAGTCATAACCTAAGAGTGTTTCTCAAGAAACAATTTGACAATTTTCGTTCATCATTTCTAAGTGGGTAGTTTCTCAAACATATGAAATGATAACTGAGGTATCCAACTGTTGCAGTTTGTGAATCATCTGGTAATGATGTGTTTTCGATATGCAATTTAACACCTAATTCTGCCTTACTACATTAATAATGCTTACAGTGCACCACTACAACGTATGCTGCACTCATCAGCTTCGTTTTCACACTTAATATGATGATAAGTGGTAAGTTTGACTCGTAGTTCTGATTATTCAATAATAGATAACACAAGGAAATAACTAACTGATGAAATCAAAGAGGATGTTTGAAGAGTTTCAAATTAAAGCTAACTTCTTTGAACAAAAAAAGGACGAATAATATTTCCAGGGTAATACCAGTTCTCGTTTCATTTCATCGATTCATTTCAACTGATGAAGTACATCATCCCAAACAATATCAGAAAATACAATTCACAAAATTCCTGATTATACTTTTCTCACAGTGACGTCAGGTTATGCGTAGAAAGTGTAAGCAACATAACTAACTACCAAATGATGCGAGTACACAAATTATTCAGTGTTAAAGGGTTAACTGTTTATTGTATAATTAGGCAAGAGTGGAAGCAGAGTTCAGACTTTGCTTAGAAACAAACATTGACTGGAGACAGTGAACAAGATGGCAAAGCAGAATGGAGTGATACTTAATGTGATACTTATCTACTTCCTACTGAGCTAACTAGCATAAAATATTGTAAAGTAGAATCAGTCTTGCAGAGGAAATTGTTCTCATCAATGTGCCTTTGATTCTTTTATTGGTTTACTTGGATACTTCTTCTCCTTTGTATGGTAGACAGATAAAAAGTGGATTCTTTTTAGCTTTTTCGAGTTTCGGTTTAGGTGTTTTTTGTTTCCATATTTTAATATGAACTTTCGGGGATATCCATTATTCACAAAGTTCTTTCCAATAACCGTGAGTTCCTCTTCAGTCTTATTTTTCAAACATAACGCCCTACTTCATCAGAAGAACGTTTTGACCAGGCTCCATTTGTAACTGTTTGCGCAAAAGCTGTAATAATTTAAGTATTGGCCAGTCTACTGTTTCATTCTATAGACGAACTTCTTAGTCGTCCTATTATTTCTTAGGTTTATGTTGCAGTCTAGGAATTGGAAGTGTCTGTGTCATAATTTTGCCTTTACTTTTCAATCGCACCTTCTTGAACTTTCCATCACATTAATTAAGTATCACTCCATTCTGCTTTGCCATCTTGTTCACTGTCTCCAGTCAATGTTTGTTTCTAAGCAAAGTCTGAACTCTGCTCCCACTCTTGCCTAATTATACAATAAACAGTTAACCCTTTAACACTGAATAATTTGTCTACTCGCATCATTTGGTAGTTAGTTATGTTGCTTACACTTTCTACGCATAACCAGACGTCACTGTGAGAAAAGTATAATCAGGAATTTTGTGAATTGTATTTTCTGATATTGTTTGGGATGATGTACTCATCAGTTGAAATGAATCGATGAAATGAAACGAGAGCTGGTATTACCCTGCAGATATGTTCTTTTTATCTTTGTTCAAACGAATCAAGGAAATTAGTTGTATGAAATGAAAGTCAACTGAGTGGTGCTCTTCATGGCGATTCATTATTACAGATGAACTCGTATTTGTGCTTGCTTACAAGAGTAACTCTCAAATGTATATTCTTAGTGAGGAAGAAAAGTACCTGCTCCTTATAACTATTTTACAATCTCATGTGCAGATGGCAATCAGTAATTCAAACTGGCAAGTTCGTTACTCACTATCATTCATAATATCAGCCTCTTAGATGATCATTGAAAATCTCAAGTTCTGAGTATATAATTTATTATCAGTGCTAACCTAATACAGACGACTTTTTATCTCCTCCAACGAATAAACAGACGTCAACTAAATTTCCTCTGAAAAGTGAAGATTAGATAAAACTTGGAATGACTTGACGGAAATTCACATTCTAGCCCATTAAAGAAACATTAAGTGTGGATTAGGCAAAAATACATAAGGCGAAAATAAACGTATTGGCTTACTTTAAGTTCTTGTTCACATTCAGAAATTCGCCGTTCCATTTTCTTTAATGGAAAAAAATAGGAGGTCGGTGAAGAAAAATAAACAAACAGGCCTATCTTGGCAGGTTGGATCACGAGCTGACATCATTTAGAGAACCACAGAAAAATCATGGCGTACTCTACAACAGTGTTCCCTCCTAATTTGGGACTCTTCAATAGTAAGCAGTCATCATCGGGATTAGAACCCAGAATCTTCCGGTGACAAGGAAAGCTCGTAGATCATTCAGCCACAGTGACGCAATCGAATTGCTCACGAATTCCAACGCCTGTCAGTTCGCGATATACTGTACATAATGCAACCACTAGACAATGTCATCGGCGATGTCAGCTCGTGATCAAACACCTGCAATCACTCAAATCCCTGCAAAGCAACATTTGAAAATGCTTAGCTTTAATTCTGTAAATAATATAAGTAATTATATTAGTTTGTTTGATAATCACAAGTAACAGTAATATTTACTATGACTTCGAACAAAATTTATTGTTCATAGTCATATTACATGTAATAGGAATGATTCATCACCTGTCCCCGATATCTGGAAAATTCTACTACCCAAACGACAAATAGGAGAGAACAAAGAAAACTATAAAACTCAAGTGTCAAAGTCGTGTGATTATAATTGATATGATTATGAACAATAAATTTTGTTCGAAACGTCATCCAGTAAATAATACTGTTTCACTGTGTGATATATCAAATAAACAAACTAATATGGAATTAATTCTGTAACCACTGCAAGACTATACACAAAGAGATTAACTCTGGACTCTAAAGCATAACTGCTCAAAGAGAAACACCATTCTTGTTCACTTCCGATTGCACTGATATAAGAATAGAAATTGAGCACACTGTAAATGAGTATAATTCAGTAAATATTACCGTATAACAACTTTGAAACTTCATCAAATAAATTTCCACCCTAATGGAACAATGAATGCACTTTACCATAACTCAGTGGGATGGATACATTATGAAGTTGTTTAAAATAATCCCAAAGTGTTTAGAAAATCAAAAAAACAAGATTTTTCAGGAACTTTTCGCTGTGTATCTATGCTACACACCTCCTTGAACAGAATTAATCAAATTTATTTTTCTTTTCATCAAAATATATGATCAAGAAATATATAAGTTGAAGTAAAGGTTCAAAAAATCTTGTTTTGATTTTTTAACACGCTGGGATTACTTCAAGTCACTTGATGATGATTCAGTTTCACTCGACTCTTAAGTTGTTCCAGGGAATTCGTAACATCTATGGTTTGTATATTTATAATCAATCCGTATGTAATTTACGAAGAAGTTTATGATACAGAGATTAAATCACAAGAAAGTTCTCCTCCTAATGGAAAAGTGTAGTTAGCCAAACCTCAAAGGTAACAATGAAATACTTCCTCGAGTTACAACATCAAAATAAAGACTCCAATGAAAGTGGGATGTGAATGAAAATTTCCATTATTGCATAGTTTAAACATTTACTTGTTGTTTGTTTCTATTTGTTGTAAACAGACAGTACAACTAATACTGTCGAATACGAATATATATATTTTTTTTGAAATATTTTTGTCTTCTTCATGTAGTTTACTGGTTTACCGAGGTTTGGCTATTGCAAATAAGTATTACTGGAAGTTGTTGATCGGTGTGGCTCAGAAGCAGAATGCTCACCAACCACTCATGTGATTCGGAGTTCGGTCGCCAAACGATGCACTCCTAAACCTAAAGACCAGTAAGCGGAGAGGTTGGGCATGGGTCTAGTAAAGTCCCATCCCACGCATAAAATCACTGTTACTAGAATTCTAAAGCTCGACTATGAACCCAAGTCCTCCGTACAGAACACAAAGCAATAAAAAAATAACAGAAAGTGGTGATGAAGCACTCTGATTAATTCCATTCATCTGTGGAGGGCATTCAAAGTGGCTGTAGTTTTAGGAGTCACTTTGCAACACCCGATGGAGAAGTAGGCGTACTATATATAGAATAATCTACGAACATCCTCAAATGTGTTCTGATTATTGCTAGGCGCTTGTTGACTGCACCTGTTGGTGCTGTGACGTATACACAGAGAATAAATTTTAACTAGAAGAAATTTAACAAAACAAAGATTTTGTTGGTGATATTTTACATAGTCAACAAAAAGTACACTAATGTACCGATATAACTACTCTTGTCTCAGTTTGAAGGAAAGAAAAAACAAAACAGAAAGCTGTTGTTCAGTGTTTAAATTTTCGTTTTCTTTATGAGAGAACTTTACACTTTCAGACTAGACACAACTCATTCAATCTCAGATTACCAACATCATGTGATAAAATGTTCAGCATAAACTTACAGCTTTACCACTGAGCACAAGTTTAAACTTTGTGCTGATTCTATATAGTATCTACTTGGATTGAAGGGAAATAGCTACATATACACATACATATATATATGATATGTTTACCTTCATCTCATATTACCCCCACTGTTCTAGAACACGTTGTTCTAAAAATGACAAAATTTTCGTAGTTGTGCTTAGTGGCAGAAACCATCCGGCAAATATGCTGAATTCTATTCACCTTTTCAAATCTCATAAATGTAAATCAAAACAGAGAGTGAGAAAAATATCCACCTTTCTGTACTACTTACAACTGTCCAACCAAACCTACACCGGTGCGATGACCACACGTAGAAGATTACCATGACATTTTCATGATAGTTTAGATACCGTTAAGTATAGAATAAACAGGCTGTAAAAATCAGCGGTGTACGAATGCAACTTCAGAGTAAAATGATCATGAACAACATTTGTGTGATAGCTATTCATCTTTCATGTTTCAGCCAGATAAATGATACTAGTCTCAAGAAATCGGCCTAAACGAATGCGTGAATATCTATGGGAAATAATTTAATTCAATTTAGATTTTCCCGTCGATTCATTGGTCTAGTGGATAACGCTTTGGCGTTCGAAACTATGAGCACTGAGTTCGAGCCTCGGTGGGAACATGATCACTCACTGGGAAATGCAAGTACATCCAGTGACCACTCCCAAATAAGACAAAGTGAGCATCCTAGATTCCATTGTTAGTCCCCATCCACCAATTGACTTCACGTATACAAAGAAAGCCCACAAGCTATTCTCAATCAATCTACACCCACTAATTCTGTCAACTGACTACTTTGAAAGCAGTGATTAGCCACTCAGACTGATTTTAAAGGAATTCAAAATGAAGAATAACCCACTACAATTTTCCTTCTCGACTTTAGAGTAGTCTCGTCAACCCGTCAACCTCGAAGCACTGACTGAGTGTTGAGAGATCGTTGCTATTTTTAATTCATGGGAAATTCCAATAGTAACATATAGCAAACAAAAAGGAGTGATTCAACGAAGAGACTCTTTTCAACAACGAATTTATTATCAAGCTGTACAATCGATAATATATGGTTTTTAAGAAGTTATATCCGGTGAGGGAATTGAATCATAGGTGTGAATGCATAAAATAATAATAGTAGTATGAAATGCAACTAAAATATTTGTGATTATAATCATAGTTAAATGTCAAGTGGCAAATACCCAGTCGCTGAATGATATACGAGATCACTAACCTTGTAACCGGAAGGTCCTGGGTTCGAACCCTAGCAGTCGGCGCGTACTACCGATGATTCCCCAACTAGGATAAAACATCTGTCCAGTACTCCCTGGTTTTCAATGGTTCTCCAACTGATATCAATCCGTGTGTAGTCAAACTCGTATAAACAAATCCAATCCTTACAAACCAAACTCTTGAAAGACAATTAATGTCATTTATAGAATAATTCATAGGATGGATAGAACTTGGAAGGGATGTGCAGCTATAGGATTAGTAGGCGAATCGAATAAAATAAAAACGCTACGTAATATTGTGTGAAATCTGATAACAGAATTTGACATTGCAAAACAGAATTGATTTAGAATGACGAGTGGAACAAGTGAGATAATACCGGGGACAGTTCAAAGTGAGAATAGTAATAATAACAATTGACGTAATAAAGGAAGAGTATACAAATTGAATAGACAAAATGGAAAAAATTGGTAGAGCCAAAATATGATTAGGGATTACCATACTTTAGCATAGAGGGATTAAGACCATGAAAGTTGGAGGGGTTGAACGAACTTTTTCTGTGCACAGAGATCTGGCTTTTCTGTTTCGGTAGCCAAAGCTTCAGCAATACAGGTGAGTCGGGTACATAGTGATTTCGGTAAATTACTTTTTGCCTTGTAGATGACTTTAAAGGCGGAGGCTATAGAGATAGGGTGGTCATTATCGACCAGATGTTCAATGATCGCGCTTCTTATTGCTCCACTTCCACCTCTTCGTAGCCGTGCAGGATAGTGTTCTTGCACCCTCTTGGACAAAACTCGAGTCGAACGACCGACATACCTAGCTCCATACGAGTAGGTGGATTGATAAACCCACATAGAGTTGGTCAACAGCGGGATCTTGTCCTTCAGGTTATTGAACAGTAATGGTCGACTGGTAAAGGCTATTCTCAAAGATGCAGCAGGGAATGTTCTTTTCAGGGACTGTGATATCCTTCTTTTCATGATATCGGAAGCTAAGTCACCTTTGAATTCCAAGCTGATGTAGAGTATTTTCTTGGGTGCGGATGATAAATCACGTTTCATAGGATTTGAATGTATATTCTTGTCTATAAAACGTGGTGGAAATCCGTTTTGTATTAGGATTTTCCTCACAAGAATTAACTCATCCTCCACAGTATCAGGGCTACATATGCGCCGAATGCGTGTGGCGAGTGACTGGACCAGATTTCGTTTTCGACCAATGGGTACCCAGCTGTAGAAATTTGTCAGTTTACCGTTCCATGACAGCTTTCGATAAATCGATCTCTTCAGAGTTCCATCGGTCCTTCTTGATAAGTTCACATCGAGGAAATGAATACTAGACTCGTTCTCCATTTCGAGTGTGAATTTTATCGCTGGGTGGCAACCATTAAATGCATTTAATATATTATTCAAATTACCATCACTGTTACA